GCTTCAGACTGCTCTGGACCTTCCACCTCACCTCTTTCCCTGGATCAGGGCTCATCTGGAACTGAGATCAGGCCTCTTTCACAGAACAAACTCCCTCTGCTGCCTCCYTGCATCAGTGGAGTGCAGGATGTTTGAGGGGAGGATCCCTGGGAGGATCCCATGTGCCTCTAAAGAAGGGAGAGATGATAACATAGACCCAGAGGATGCATGTTCAGTACCTTTGCAAGAAAGCAGATATATTCTCTTTCTGAAGAGGAACAGRAGAATCCAGAACAGAGCTGCTGAAGGATCCAGTTACCCTGGCTTACCACACAAATGCTAATTCCCCTGCACTCTTATTGCTTGCCCACTCAAGCCTACCTGGATCAAAAGCTAGGCCTCCTCAGAGACAGGAAGATTGGAAAATAATGATTTTGTTCAAGTGTGAGCCTGCACATGGGATCTCAAAAAACCTCCTGRAAAACATAAAAGGTGTCATTCACCCTTAAATGCCACCCCCTCCCCATGCCTACAGTATTATGTTTACTCATCCTTTCTTATTACTAATTCTGCTGTCAGCAGATAGCCCCRAAGCCCACAGGCTCTTTGCCTCCCTCATTCCTGTCCCAGCAATAGCAGATTGCCATCCTCCATCAGTTAATTCATCAGCCCTTGTGGCAGATGTCTGTGTGCTGGATCTAAAGGTTCCAGCCCAGCAGATGACTCAGAGTTTAGCATGATGGGGTTTTCATTCTGCATTGAATCAGTGAAAACTTTCACCCAGAGCAGTATTAAAAGTAGGCAAGGGCTGCGACATCAAGCACTCCAAAGTCAGGAATGGATACAGAAAAGTCACTTCTGCAGAAATAATTTAAATTTTAGTATATAAGTGCATGAAGGAGATGATAATTAAGGAGTATATCCCAGGTAAGTGGGGATTTTTTGTTTTCATCTTTTTTGGACAGTTCTCAGGGTCACTCAGGGCACAAAGTGAAACAGTATCTAGCAAAGRAATMGTTTGCTTGGAGGACTCCAGTTTCRCTTCAACAGGAGGTGAAAAATAGTCAGAATAGAAGCAAGACAGAAGAAAAAAGTCAAACTCCAGTGTTGCAATGAGGGTGTCTGGATTTTCATTAAGGAGGGGAAAATTACTTGAAACAGCTTTATCCCAAGTGGTCAGTCACTGCCCATTCCTTGTTTTCTAGGTCCTAAGATCTCCAAGTGATAGAAACAGCCTATCCTACTCTTCCTTGGAGGAGGAAGGGGTAGAAACAAGACAGTGAAAGCATCAACCTTTGCTGAATGACATGAAACAAATCTGATTCCAGGCTGWTCTTAAATCACCTATCACAAATGAGTATGTATTCTAACCATAACTGTCTGTTTCTTATCTGCACATTTTTCTCTCATGGGGGTCCCTCCCCAAAAAAAAATAATAACCCAGAGGTTTTGGTCTCGGTAGACCATCCATGTCTGGAGCTTGCCAGAACTGACCRCTTGATCCCCAGCCCAAAACATTCAAACATCATCTTGACCATAAGCACAGAAGGAAAGTTGGTGAATTCAGATTGTTCTTGTGTTTCAATTCAGCTGAATTAGATTCCCTAGAACACAGACATTCACACTGCAAAGAGCTCTGCATGAAGTGTCATCATGCACAAGGAGAAGCTTTTGGCCCCACAGCTCAGCTGTTGGAATGGCACATATGAACATGCTTTAACATGCTCCAAACAGAACCATCTGAGCTGCTTTAAACAATATAATTCATGTTCTGGGATAACTCTGCTGCCTGCKGCAGCACAGAGATGGAAATCATCAGGTGTCATCTGGTGGAATCGTGGGGAGACATTGCTCACTCACATTTGGGCAGGGAAAGGTATCTGGTGAACAGAAATATCCCCATCCAACAGCACATGGTCTGGAAGAGTCCATCACTTCAGTCTGACACCACTCAAAACAGCTGAGAACATCCCCTCATTTCCCAGGTCAGCACTATGACAGTGATACCTGAGTTTCTGTGTCAAAATCGGTGACACAATGGTCAAAACCTTCCCATCGTTCTCTCATTTCCTGACCCATCCATTCCCTCCTAAGGATATGGCCYTTATGGAATTTGAAACACTTTAAAAATAAAATAAAATAAGCACTCTTGGTAATACCCAGATGAACAGCAAACCACAAGTGCTTTGGATTATTTTTATGCAGTAACTACAGCAAACACTCAGCCTTGGAACACTCAGTGCTGGAATCTCTGTGGCTGTGGCATTGTGCGAGTGCCTCAAACCCACTTCACTTATTTCTGTGTCACTCATCCTCCCTGCTCCAAAATGAACTTTTTTTTTTTCAAAGGAAAGAGCTTATCTTCCATACTGCAGAGCTGAAGAAAAATCCTCCTATGCAGCAATATTTAAAACATGGTTTTATGGTCTTATGGCAGCTAATTTTCCTTAAGTGATTTAAGGGAATGAATACATCTGAAAGTCCTGCACTGAGCTGCTCTGCAATGGCAACATGAAGCCAAACTTGCTCTGCTTTAAACAATCCAGTCTTCTGTGCACAGCCCTTCATGGCAGATCTTGTCTGCAATGGGGACGATGAAGGGTTTTTTTTTAATGCCTTTTTTTTTGTACCAGGGAACTAGACTTTGCATTTTATTCCATTTGATATTCCCCAGTGTGGGAAGACTTCAGGTGAGGAGAGGGTGGCAGGACAGACAGGTTCAAAGGCAAAATGCCTGATGTGACACAGTTTGCCASCAGCCCTCCTGCAGCAGGGCACCTGTGCATGCAGCCAACCATCTATCATGTATTACTCATCTGAAAGGAACACTCTGCACCTGAAAAGCACCTCAAATTCTCAGCTGCCTGAAGGGACTCAAAGCAGGTTTTATTCTGGCACTCTGTCASAACTGAATAAAAGCAGTCCCTGCTGAAGCAGGACGGTGCAGGGACAGTCCCATGTTCTCTCTCTGAGGCACCTGGCCTGTCTTCTCCTTTTGTCCAACACTTTGCATATAGTCTTTTCATTCAAATATTACTGGGATAAGAGGGACTAAGAATCTGGTATTGCTCAAGAATAACAGTAATCCCATATCCTGCAYTGCATTGCTGAGCATCCCTGGAAATGCCAGAAAGGCTGGTCTTGGCAAGGGGATGGCAAAACCAGACAAGAAGGTTTTTTTTGGTGGGTAGCCAATTCACTGAGAAATGGAATTCTGAARTGCAAACTGAACTTTGCTGATACTTTAATAAAAAAAAAAATTCTAAACAATTTTTTTTTAAAAAAAATGAAATAACCTGAAAATGAAATGTTACATTCTGTGTTTGAAAGGCTCCTTTTTCTTTCCCTCAGAAAGAAATGAACTGGAACTGGCTCATCTCAGGTTGATCACTGGGGAAGGGGTGGGAGACAGAGAGATGGAGGAAAAGAAAGATTCCCATTTTAGACTAACTCTAATCAAACAGTTATTTTGATTTTTCATTTTAGYCACCAAAGCAAATTAATTCATTCCTCATGCATAGGGCAGCTGGAAGCTACCAGAATTTTCAAAGCTTCCTTAGAATGGGATGAAGCTGAAAAGAACTTCTCCCTACCTCCAAGAACAGCTTTATTTTTCTGGCAGGGACTTTTAATAGGGCCAGGATTTGTTGCCTTACTGGCTATAAGCATTTCCCTACATTCAGCTTTCTTGTGCTGTTCAAACACCTCTTAATTCTTGGAAAAAAATCTTCTCTCAAAGCATTCTACATGCTCTCCCCATCATATAAAAGGAAAATTGTCTTGCTTTTTGGGGTAGAAAACAGAGGAAAGACCAGGCTGGCTCCAAAACTCTTCTCTGTGCCTTTCCATCAATATCATCATCAGTTTAATTGAGCTTAGGAGCTGGGTCAGGGGCTCTATGTGCAGTGCAAGGTGCTGCACAAACTGAACAGAAAGACAAATTCTGTGCCAARCAATTAGCAGTCTGAGAAAATATTTTTCATTCAATTGGATTCCACTCCATATGTAAGGATCTTATCTATTAACCGATCTTCCTTGTACCTAAAACCTCCTCTGCACAGGTATTACTAGTAGCTGGAAGATAAAAAGTCCAATTAAGATGTATTGGGAAAACCAGGAGTTAAATTAAAGGAGGTCTTATCCTATACATGATGTAGCCGGGGGTAAGAAACCTTTTCCTTTATTAGCAAGGCAAGCCAGGTCCTTTTTCACAGAAACAAAAAGAAAGAAAAAAATAAAAGGAAAAATTAGCAAAACTTCAGGGAATTACAAATTCAAATTCCCTCTCCATTGTGAGAAGCAAGAAGAAAGGGCAAAAAACCAGGAGTCCCATGAARAAAAATATAATAATCTATAAAATCTCCTCTTATTTTTTAGTAGTGATTTTTTCCTACCCATCTCCTTTTTTTTTTCCAGCAGTTTTTCTTAGGTGCCACGTTCAATAATCCTTCCGCACTTTGATGTCAAACATTCAATAGCTGTCTGCCTCCCTCCCACTCCTCTTCTCCATATTCTCCACCATCCATYTCCTCTGATTAGCTAAGATTTCACCTTCAAGAGCACCTCTGCCTCTCTGTCTGAGCACGAGTGTGTTTATATCATATTTGCAAATATCCTCCCCCTTCTGCACTGCACACACACAGCCAGAGCCCCGGATTGAGCATCACTGCCATTCCCTAATTCAATTTGGGAGGTCTGCTGTTTTCAATCCAGCTCAGAGCATGAGAGCAGCTCAACTGAATTTAGGCCCTGCCTAAATAATTCTAACAATTCTACATTAGAATTATTTTGTGTTTAACGTGAGCTGGACTTTACTCCACTTGCTTTCCCCACTTCTGATGCCTCCTGTGACAAAAGGCGCAACTGTTACTCAGTCTACTGCACTGTGGGGTGCGGGTGTGGGATTTCTCCCTAATTTTGGTTTGTCACTGGGTCATGCTGGAGTYGCTGGCRTCTCCCCCTGCAGCAAGAGAGGCTSTGTCCCCCATCCCAAGGGGACAGCAGCCCCTGTCCCCACTCACCGGGTTGTTGTACATGTCGATGATGAGCTCCTTCACTCCGTGCAGGGTGGGATGAGCCCACGGAGAGGGATTTGCCCAGTGCCGGTTCAGATCAAACCCCATCAGGGAGCACCTGTGCACAAAAACACACACACATCAAGGATTTATGGGGGTTCGCTGCAGAATCAGGGCTGTGCCCTGCAGCTGAAACAGTTCAACATGTCATTCTCATGGGGGGAACAAAGCAATGCTCCCCTGAGGAAGGGCTGAAGCAATGGCCCCTGTCAGAAACGCCATGACCAGCAGAATATCGAGTGAAACAGCTTTGTCATTGAGCCTTCCTGCCCTCACAGCCCCTGTGCTCACTCCATCCTTTGCCTTTTCCCAGCTCAGCTGGCTGGCACAGGAGCAGCCTCAGCTGACCTTGGAGGTTCCCTTCTCTCAGAACCTCCGGCTGAGGCTCTGTGATTGCTCTGAGGGCAATTCTCACCCTGCACCACCAAACTGGACCTCAGGTTTGTCCTTGACTCAGCAAGGCTGTTCAGAGCTTTGCCATCCACAGCCATTAAGTTTGTGCTTAAGGGATTTAAAGCATGAATGTCACTGTGGCACCAACCCAGGGCCTCGCTCTCTTCCCCTCCTGCAGCTGCCTACACAAAAGTCAGCCAACCAAGTTAAAATGCTTATTGGCCATCAAATCTTCTAGGCACTGGAGCATGGRTGCCACCTTGGCTTCTCCTTGCTGCCCTGACTCAGATCCCACTCAGGGATTCATTGTCTTGAATTGGATTCTGCTGCTCCCAGCCCCATAGGGTATTTTCCAAATTCTTTGTGAAGCCCCACCGAAACTCAGAAGGTTGTCATTAGAGTAGGCACAGGAACTGAAAATATGAAATTTGAGAAAGAAATTAAAAAGCTGAAAGTGGCACAAGTAGGAGGAAAAGGAGGAAATCATATCCCTTGTCTACCACAGAGATCACCCAGAAAATCTGTGGCCACTGATATGTGCAGGAAGAAAACTTCATCATCTCAAGCTGAGATTAGGATCAGTTGAGCAGATTCTTGCTCAGGAATTCTGTGGAAGACCACACAAACAATAAAAGTCCAGGTAGAGATGCAACTTCCTCTATAGTTAAAACAAACAAACAAACAAAAAAATCAACCTCACTGCTAAGCCTTAAAGCTTCTTGAGAGAAGAAGAGCTTTCATTGATCCCACATCTATTACAAGAATGTCTGTTCAGCCTTAATCTTTTAAACACGCCTGTGCAAATAATAGAGATTCACTCCTGCAGTGCTATCCTTTGACAAAAAAATTCTAAGAATCTGATGACCAAAACCAGGTTTAATTGGCAAAGACAAAGGAAAATAAAACAAAGACAGAGAGGTGAAATGCTAAAAAAAAGTGAGGAGATGAAACCAGAGGATGAAATTCTTTTTTAGACCTAAAGAATAAATATTTTCCTATGAACCAAAAGATATAAAGTTAATGGGACATTGTTTTGTAAAAATTCTTATGCMCATCCAAGCAAGCAGCAGCTGCTCTGCTCCCTGGGCTGCACAACCCAACCATCAGCTCAGTGGGAGCTCCAACACCCAGCTGAGCTCTGCAGCTCCATCGCTGCTGATTTGAGTGCCTTGGGGTGGAGAACCCACCTCCTTATCCTGGTGGTCACTCTCTGCTTCTAGAGAAAACAGATGGATTTTTGCTGGACACTCCAACAGCTACAATTCCACAGACGACTCTGAAAGTTGCTGCCATCCCACCCTGTTGCTTATTTCAGATTTCTCTCTCTCTCTTCTTTTTGTCTTCATGTAAACTCTCTGCACTCGGCTCTACTAAATCCTATCTTCTTTTGAACTCATAGACATTAATAAAAACCAGGAGTACATCCACAGACGTAGGTGGAATTACACRGGATAAAACTGGCAGAAAAGTAGAAAAAGAGGAATGAGTTTTTCATTTAATAAAAGCAGAAACTGTCATGAGTTTCACTGTATTTTGGCACAGTTCCCAAGAAAACAACATTCTTACTGTAYGAAAACTTTCCTAAGAGCTCAGAATCTGGACTTATATCTCTCTATATAGTTAGTTTAGTATAGTTAACATTTGCATTTTCTTTTAATAATATTTAACACTAGTAACACTAGAGAAAATGAGCATACTTTGATTCCATTACATCCATCTCCAAAGCACATTGAAGTGGCCAAGCTAGAGAGCAGCAAAAGCAAATTTAAAATTCAAACATAAACTGTTAATATTAAATTTGGGGTTTGGGACTTTTTCCAATAACTTTATCTAAGTCATTCCCATAGGGAAAAGAGGCAAGCAATACCTAATTTTTTGTAAGATCCTAAGTAAGGCATTGCAATTTGCAGTATTTGGGTGTGTCAGGAATGTCTGGTGGCTGATGAATCTTGCAGTTCATTTAAAACAACAAGAAGTGTTGAAAATAGTTGTCTTTACTTGAAAAGACTTTATAAACACAAGGAAGCAATGCTTAGCAAACAAGTTATTCATTTGGGAAGCTCCTCTGAGCTCTGTTTAATAGGAATCCAAATTAATTTCCAAATATCATTTAGCTAGTCTTTGATGTGGTATATCACATATTTATCAATGTAACAACAATTAATTAAGCTTCTGATGTAGGCATTACTATTTCTTTCCAGTCTGGAAACACTGTAATATTTTCCCCCCTCCCTTCCAGTTTTCACGTCTTTTTTCTTTCTTTATTTTTGCCTAAAGACATATTTGTATCTACCATATTCTCTCTTTATTCATCTGCTGTAAACTTGTGGCCTCTCTAAGGAAACATGGAGTTGTGTTCCCTGATATTTCAGATTTGATTATTGACTCTGTTCCATGTAGAGTTCCCATTTATCAGGACACGACCAAAACACGCAGCAAGAGTCTCCCACRTGCCTGTTACAGATCCTGCACTCATTTTATCATCTTGCTCCCAGCTGATGAGATCTCCCTTGTGGCTAATGCCTCCAATGCAAGAGCTTGAAGAGGATAACCTAAAAATTGCATCTTGCACTGCTTTTTAATTCCTGCTCCCAGTCTTAAACCAGCTAATTTCTGGAATGYCTTGCTGCTGGTCCCACTGCTTGACTGTTTGCCTGCTGCTTCAAACACTGGATAAGCAAAGCAAAAACATAGATATGCTCTGGAAACAGCAGCTCCATGGTGGGACACAAGTGTGGTATAATTTAATACCTAATATTTCAACATTTGAGACCAGTTCTTTTATTCAGACTGTGAGTGTTGTCATTGGCTTCAATGCAGTTCCTCCTGTGGCTGTAAGGGTTCTCCTGATTTAGAAAGTGTCTTCAAATCTGCCCTATACACATTGGATTTCTCTGGTGCTAAGAGTAAAAGAATGTGTTCAAAATTAACAGTATGGAGGAAAAAAATCCCTTAATTTTATYAAAGGATAGTTTAAGGATGATCTCRGAAAGGGGACACAGAGGACAGAGACAGAAAATCAGGAGACATTACAGCAGCTTCAGAACTAGTGAGGGTAGGAACAAGAGCACTGGAGAATATCCCACTCCATGAGGGTAAATGRCCATGCCCATGGATGGTTTTATGAATGTGCCATGGAGCCTGGCTAGAATGATGTGCTGGCACAGACTCTCCCAGGTTAGAAAAAAGCACAGCCAGGACAGGTGAGCTCCAAACAAAGCTGCAGCCTGCTGCTTTTACCTGATTGTGGCCTTCATTYCTACTCTGAAATCCTGGGTTTTGGTCACACGGTCACTGCAGCCACAAAAATATGACATGTATGCAATTTGAAACATTTAAGCTGACAACCATTGTTTGAATTTGGGATTATGCTTGCTGTAGTTTGCTAGATATACAGACCACATACTGTGCTTCTGCTTCGTGACTGAATGTTCATTTAAATCAGGTTCTGTGAATATTCTTGTTGAATTAGAATTTGTGTTTCACCAATGCTTTCCAGCCTTTTTCTAAAATTTCTGTTTTCTGTAAGTAGATAAAWTTATTACAGTGTTTATAAATTTACATAAACACAGTGCAGATTCAGTCAAAGCAAATGAGTTTCGAAATTGCACTGGAAACTGAAACATTCTGCAGTATTCATCCCTCCCTACTTGGGAGGCAGCCAGATCTCAAGAGGTTACCAGCTCAACTGAGTAAAACCAAAGATGTTCAGACCAGCACCCAGCTCTCTGGGCAGCTCTCTGGACAGAACCCCTTCACCTCTGGCACTGAACTCATCACTACTTTTAAGGATTTCTTTTGCAGCTGCTTTAATGACAACATCCTGAGGAAGGATTTAGCACCAAGGCCCATGCTGGGTTTATTTTTTAAGGCTTCTTCCTATTCTTTCACATGGTGCCTCTTCTGTCTGGAATCTCCAAGTTATAGAAACATCCAGGAACTCTCTGCCTTCCTTTACCTCCAGTTCTCCCTACCCGGCTCGTTTTTCCCACCGTGTGAGTCTAAGTCTTTTCCTAACAGACCCATTTCCACAAGGTGAGATAYGGAGAATAATGGAGGAAAGGAGGTAAAGAAATCCTTTTTCACACCGTGTGATTTATTACAAAGACAACTCTGYACCCTTTCCCTTCAGCTTTGTGGGGTTGCGTTGGTTCATTGGATCAGCACCGGGTGAATCTCCAGATAATCTCCACACACAAAGCCGGGGTGTTCCAGCCCACAAATGGTGCTACCAACAGGGGCAGGATTTCAAATTGGAAAAAAAGTGGGGAGAGTGGATTTTTTTTTCCCCTTCTCAGCCTCATTGCAGTAAGAGTGGGGACAGAGGGAATTGGTCCCGGTGGCCGCAGTTCCTGGAAGGCAGAGCAGCAGGGAATGTCACCAGGCTGGAGCTGGCAGTGGCACGGAGGAGGGAGCAACAAGGGCACCACGCCAAACACTTGTTTTTTGTTTTTTTTTTTTTTTTCACAAATATCATTTCAAAACCGATATATTCACGACGTTTTACGAATCAACTCGACACCTGCCAGCGAAGTCAGGTCTTCATTAGCGTGCTTTTCACCGTTCGGGTGCTCGGGGTTTGCGATTTATGCGTTTGCCCATTATTCATTAAAAAAGGATTCATTCAAGCCCACATATTCTGAAGCAATTAGGTAGCAA